TCACACGTCTCATCACACGTCTCATCACACGTCTCTTCACACGTCTCTTCACATGTCTCATCCACCTGAATGATTGAAACCAAACATAAATCAAATCATACAACATGTATGTACGTGTGTCTCTGCAGCACATTATAAAAGCATGTGGACGCCTGAACATGGCTCCGTTGCTGATGAGTGGACCAGAAATATTTTAGAACCTTACAGAATGTTCTGGTCACAGCGTCCTCACATAATGTCAACACGTCTCTGCAGCTCGTCCACGGACTGTCCCCAAGAAGAGCCCAGTCGATGACGAAGATGAAGACGAGTACGACGACAGCTTCATCGACGACGACAGCGAGGACGTGGGCGAAGACTCAGACTACGTCCCTCCTGACTCAGATGACAGCAGCAAAGAGGACGTCAAAGGTCTGCAGAAAGAAGCTCAGGTGTTTCTGAAGAGGAAGTAGAACCCAGCTTCCTGTTGTTTGTTTTCTTTGTGTTCATTTTAACGCTTTGTGTTCACCGCTGGTTGTCACGTGACTGATAACCAATCAGAAGAGAACGTGGGCGTCATCATGTAACCATGGCAACAGTGATGAGTTTCAACACTTGCATGTATCAGAGTGGGCGGAGCCTGAGATGATCGTAACATTAAAAAGAGTTCATCCACTCTGAAGCTGAAAAGATGTTTCACAGAATCCTGCAGGAAGACGACCCGATCTAAGTTTAATAGTTTTTCTGAATACACGTCTTTACTTCCTTCAAGGTTCGTTCATCATCTTCGCTGAGCTGCTGTTAGAAAACGTCTTCCTGGTTTAATAAACGCTCGTCAGGGACACGAGGCCGTCGGCACCTCGGTGTCGACTCCTCTGCCGCCTCTCGTCTGTTTGCTCACATCGTCTCACAACATTTCTGAGTTCGTTCTTTCTTTCAAGTCGCGTCCTGTCGTCGACGTTCAAAACCGGCTGTATGCTGTGTCGTCATGGAAACCGAGAGCAAAACAACTGGTTGTTGTGATTCAGGTTGAAAAGAAAGAATCCACACACGTCAACAGGCCCCTCGGACGGAGGGTTTCCTGTTTTACTCTGCAGGAAAAGCTGCAGAAAATGTTCCCGCTCAGACATTTGTGTTCTCCCGTCATGAGATTATCAGATTATTCAGTGCAGGTCTGAAAGCAGCATCGTTTGACAAGTACAGAAAAGTCAGAGGGAGGTTAGTGAATGAGACGAGCTTTCTTCAGTCACTTTAAATCCGTAGAGACGTCCGATCTGTTGAATCTCCCAGAAGGAATCTGTTTTTAAGAGTTGAAAAGTCTCATCATGAATAAAGAGGTTTTTTAGACCAGCAGCAGATTTAAGAGTTGAAACTCTGAAGACGATCTGCAGCTGACGGAGGGTGAATCACCTCCTGCTGGACAAAAGCTACGTTAAGTGAAGGAAGAGAAACAAATAAGAGTTGATGGCAGCAGGGCCGGACTGAGGCTTCATAGGGCCCAGAGCAGAATTTGATGTGGGGGGGCCCCCACCACCTCGCACCAAGTGCTGTGTCTCCTTCATGGATTTCCGTGGTCGACGTCACCAGCTCGTTCCGTCCTTATTGGCGTTACTTAGCAACGGAGCTGAAGTTGGACATGAAGACAAAGTTTGATGTTGGATTTTTAACATGTATCTTTAAGCTGTTGAGTTGAAGCGTAAAACTAAAGCACTAAGACGTCTCGTCGGCTTGCTGGCTTCATGACGAAGAGCAATGAATCCTGGGACATGTTGGAAGAGAAGGATCCACCCGCTGCAGCCTTTGTTTCTCAGGGATGGAAGGAACCATGATTTAAACTGTAAATAAAGATGGATGACAGCAAAACTCTCAAATCCTCTCGACCGCCTCTGACGAAGAATGTAATCGATTACTTAGTGTAATGAGTAGGAACCAGAGTGTCCACATACTTCTGGCCATGTGTTGTATGCAGGAGTCATGTCATCCTGACCTTTAGTAACCTGAGGTTTCTGTTCGACCAACACACTGATTCTTGTCAAGACGTTTCCTTCCATCAAACATTAAAGTCACAAGTCTCCTCAGAATCTTTCTCGCTCGTGTAAAAACATGATGCGTTTCATCGTCGGAGCGACGCCTCCGTCCACAAACCTTTTCTACGGTTCTGTAGTTTCACATCTCAAAGAGATTTCAGACGTGAACACGCAGCTCTGCTCTCTCGGAGACAAACACCAGTCCTGCAACGGTTTCATTCTCACTATGAGTTCAGGGGACTCGACCAATCACGAGTTAGTCTCAGCTGTCAATCATCACGCATAAATATTTAATTAATCTCCCACTATTTGATTATCGTTTGTTCATTTTGTTTATTAATAAATAAACATCGTCTGTTTGATCGTGAACAAATCGTTTTGTGTTGCTGGATAAAGAAAACGGAGACGATTTCTTCTTCTTGTCTCCACGATGGTTTAATAGAGTCGTGTTCTTTACATCATCAATAACTGATCAAACCAAACTGATGAGAAACACTTGAACAAACTTCAGAGAGAAGAACGAGCTGAAACGACAGAAACATCTTTACAAACATTTATTTAACGTCTACTTTGATTTGTTTGGTTTGGTTCATGTCCCGTCTGCTAACGTGGAGGAGGTTTATGATCGATGATAAGTCTGAACGGTTGCGGCCAGAACTGATCTGAAAACATGTTCCTCAGAGCAATGCACTCTGGGAGATCGTTATCTTGTACCTTCAACTTTTTGAAATAAAGCAGCTTTTTCCACGTCAGTGTCTTGTTGTTTGCACTGAAGAAGATTTTACATCCAAACAAATAATGAAAAGTCACAGTGTTCGACCAGTCAGCTTCAATTCATGACATTCACACAGGAAGTTATTTATAAAATGAACTTCCTGTGTGACAGCTTCAGTCCCTGATTTTCTCCAAAGGTTTGTGGTTCTTGTAGTTTCTGGTTCCTGTGGTCAACATGTGTCCATGTTACTTCAGGAACCTAACAACAGCTCTCCTGTGTCTTCTCTCTGTCTCCTTCCACATGCACGGCTCTGGATAATGTTGTAGAGCTGCAGCCGATCCCTCGGATGTTGGAGCTCTACCTCAGCCGAGCCCCCTCTACATCCACGGTCACTCAGAGGGAGGTCGTCCGTGCCTCCCCTTCGTCCACAGACTTGGTGGCCACGTAGGTTAGCAGCCTCAGCGGGAACTTGCCCGCCTTCCTCAGGCGCTTGGTGTTGTTTCGGACACTCACGAAGCAGAGGGTGTTGATCATCCCGTTGCTCATGGCGATGCACTCAATGATATAGAAGGCCACCAGGGAGTTCCTGTCCCTGGAGATGAGGGTGGGGTAAAAGTCCCGCAGCAGGGCGAAGCCATAGTACGGCGCCCAACAGAGGATGTAGGTGACCAGCACCAGAATCAGCATCACCACTGTCCTCCGACGCCTCTGGAGCCTCTTCCGGATCTGCTCAGTCTGAAAACCTGGAACGTCTTTAAACCACAGCTCCCTGGAGATCTGGATGTAGCAGACGACCATGATGGTCACGGGGCCCATGAACTCCAGGACGAAGATGAGAAAGAAGTAGGATTGGTAGAAAACCTGCTGGTCCACCGGCCAAATCTGAGCGCAGAAGGTCTTGTGGGTGTCACCTTCCACATTTGGGTACGTCGTCTCGGAGGCCATGTAGGCGGAGGGGATGGAGATGAAGATGGGTACGATCCAGACCATCAGGATCACACAGCACGCCGTCTGGTGCCTCATACGAGGCTTCAGAGGGTGGAGGATCGCCATGTACCTGCAGACAGAGAGTTGACGAGGGTCAGGACGATGAAGACGTTTCCTCTCAGAGTCTGAAGCTTCGTGTTTGTTTCATTTGATCTGTTTCAGTTTCACGTTTCAGAGACTAAAGAATTCTGTCTCACCTACGTGGGCGGAGTCTATCTATACTTGAGTCTGATTGGTCTGTAGACGGAGTCTGATGTGGGCGTGTTGTCAGTTGGGGGGGTAGTAGTCTTCCTGTTTGAATGGAGACAATGACTGTAGCTTCATCTGGTTGCCATGGTAACATCATGATCATCATCATCAGCACCTTCAGGCGCAGTACTCCACAGTACTCCACAGTACTCCAGTACTCCACAGTACTCCA